GTACCTACCTACGTTACGCTTGAGTAAACTTCTTTGCTGAACCCACGTGTCACGAGAGTTTTTCTGAGTCAAATGGGGTAAACCTTACAAAAGCTACAATCCATAATCAGGAAAAATTGTGGCTATTTTTCGTGATATTGCATGGTAAAAGCAGTTTTTCCAAGTGGCATTTATGTTAAAGCTGCCAATTCTCTTTTCTTTTTGGCAATGCTGGTTGGGAATAATGGAAATTGTATTTGGGAAAGACTGGCCTTACTATATACTGTTACTAGATCATTTACAAATTGGATAGATACTGTAAAAACAAGTGGAGAGAAATGATTTACTCACAAACCTACAGATACAAGTATCAACTAGGATATTAACTGCAACTGCATTCCTCTTACAGAATGTTTCTCTGGCTCTCCACACTCCTGCAAAGCAGATTACAGGAGCTATGCAGAACAGTGTTTGACAGGATTCCAATCTGGGTGAGGATTAGCGTACACGACGCTATAGTATGGAGAGATGGGCAAGACTTACCTCATGGTGGGATGTCTCCCGCTCCCACGCACTGTTTATGATTCTGTCCTATCTTTTCCAGCAGGATTGCAAAGAGGATATTGGAAACATTTGTTTCAGATGTCAATCATCAGAGTTTAACTGTGCCTGTACCTAACTATGGTTAGTTGAAACAAGCTAACTTTTTAAAAATGCAGTTTTTTGCTTGCTTGTTTCTGCTAATCATAGTTAAGATGAGCAGTAGTTTACCCCAATTTAGATATGATGCTAAACTTGGTTAGTCTAAAATGGAAATGAACCTCTTTTTCCTAAGGATTCAAGTAGACAGGAACATAGAGAGTAAGTGGGTTCAAGGGTCATCCAGATTAATTCTCCTAACCAAAAAACCCATAGTATTGTCCCTCTCAATAAAGAAAATATAAGTGCTGCCATTTTAGAAGACATACTTGATAAAAAACAAAACAAAACTCTGAGTGTTTCTGAGCATCTCCAATCTGTATTTGATCAGAGGGTAACTGCTGCAAGTTATGAACATGTAGAACTCTGTACACAAAACGTAACAGTTGAATAATGTAGTGTATGAAATGCACATATTAAGAAAGTATATATGAAGACATTACTGTATTTGATTTTCATAACAAATTTCTAGTTTTGCATTTATCACTGGTACATTTAATGAATCCTTTGTAATGATGCAGAATAGAAATGAACATTTATGAAATATAAAAATGATCTACCAGGAAAGTATGTTAGATCACCATTCATTAAAGAGATAACAAGTAAATGGAAACTGATGGACTTCAGTTAGACAAATGAATAGATATCAGAAGAAATAAAATGATTGTGAAATTTTGTGGTATTCATTCCTAATTTGAAGCCATGCTGCAAAAGCTTTCAATCAGTGTATGTGCTTTGAGTTTTCAGTTACAAAACAAAAATCACACTTACTGTTATTTCTGTCTGACGGCATTAATAAAATCAAAAATATCAGAACATAGTTCTTCAAAGAAAGGTGAATAATTTTTCTAACCTACCTTGAGAAAAAATTTAGTCAAATTGCAACACAAGCATTTAATCAATGTAATTAATAAAGATGCAAAGTAAAGTCATTAAGAATAGCTTGGCATCCCATTTTGACAGAAGGGTTAGTAAATTATAGCAGACATTAAACCTTGATTAATATTTCCATAATTGATAAAGAAATCTGTGTGCTGTTTACAGCATTATTTCCAAATAGCAGCTATGTTTATTTGAATACAATGCCTATACTATCCATGAAAGTAGTGGAAAGGGATATATAGAAAGATAACAGCATAATGCTGAATTTGTTAAAATAAACAGTATATAATGTAGAATGTTTGCTGCATTCTCTCCTCACAACCTAAAACAATTCAAGCATTATTCATGTTTTAATGGAATTTTATTATAATTCTGCTAAGTTTTAATTTGATTATGAAACAAATCTACATGTATTCTAGAAATACATACACACACAGTAAAAACAGCCTATTAAGTTCTAAGTATCAGATGCCTATCAGCTTTAGAAAAATCATGTGATACGATTATTTAGCTGCAGGTCCTGTACCAAAGTAAAACAGGTATCACTCCTAAAGTTCCTTGCATCAGAGGGCATTCAAACATTTGCCACTTCAAATACCCCACATAATATGTAAAGAAAGAATCTAACAGATGCCAAACAAGCTCTACTTACAGTGGTTCTTCCTTCTCTGGTGTTTTCCCAGCTTCCTTCAGTTTATCTACTGCCAGTGCTTGTTTTTCTATCTCATTAAAACTCTTGCTGCTCATTTTCTGGGCCCCCAAACCACCTTTCTTAGCTGCAAGCTTTAACGAGAAAAAGATTCTATACTTAAAATGATGTAAGGGGAAAATAAAAAAGGTGTCACAATACTGGATCATGAAGTTATTTTGTGTTTTCTTTCTTTCAGAACAAAATGGAAAGGAAACAGCTCTAGTAAAGGCAAGGGAAGCCATACAAGCAAGGCCTGGCTTCTACACTCATGATACTTTGTAGCCCTAAGGGCATCCTTATAGCTCTGGATTTGTGATTGCCACTATTGTATTTTGACTGCTGGATGAAGCAAATCTATGGTTAGTTATTACCACAGTATGAAAGAAGGTTCTGATTCTGCTTTGAAAGCAATTAACAAGAAGTTAAATTCAGATGTCATAAAGGTGAGACAAAGGCTACTATAAATTAGGATACATGGAAAGCAATCAGGATGGAAATCTAGAACAACTTAGATGTAGAATTTAGTAAAGCAAGATTGTGAGATGAGTACAAAAATGCATTCTAATTGCACCTGTTTGTATAGCTAATCACATGAAATGCAGCTGGAGCAAGTTACCATATAGAAAAGCAGACTAGGAATGCATACAATTAAGAAAATAGCTCATCAAATTATTACTGCTTGATTCCAAGTCAGTCCTATATAGCATGGAAGTAATTTTGGCAAGTATCTCTCTAAATGGATGTAGAACCCAGCCTAGCGGCATCCGCAGCAAACCACAATGAGGCCAAAGTGACCGCGTGCGCACGGTGCCCTGCCTCATTACTTAATGGCTGTTTCCTGATACACAATTGAAGTATGTAAGTTGCTGCATTTGCATCATGCCATCATCATTCACTTTTCATAATGTGTCTCCCGTTCTATCATAATGGCAACTCTCTAGTTGTGATGGAATGTATCTACGAGGAGGAGAGTGATGTGGGAGATCAAGGCTATCAGGAGGGAGGGGCTGCATTCCAGCAGAGGAAAGGAGACAAAAGACAATATAGCCCGCAAGAGGAGCATGGGAAGAATAAGAGGTTCAGGACAGCCACTCCCTAGAATCTCCCAGGGTATATCCACTAGTTGCTATAGTATACAGTCAGGTCCAGAAATACTGGGACATCGACACAATTCTAACATCTTTGGCTCT